CGATAATAACTAAAGAAAGCACAATCTAAACCTTGAATCGAAGGCAACAGGGGATAAAAAGCGTGCTCCTACCTTGGCAGGCTCGGCTGGCTGTGCCCGTGGAGCCCCGCTGCGGGCGCGCGCTTCCACCCCTCCCGGCACACAAAGCAAAAGTGCAACTTCTGCGAGCGTGCAGCCTGCGCCAGGCGCGGGGCCCTCCCCGTCAGCCCTGGTTTATTTCTGCTCATTGTGCCAACAGGTCAGAGCTGGACCTGCTTTTTTTTTTTTTTTTCTTTTTTTTTTTTTTGTGGTGAAGAGAGATATCGAGGCGCCGCTGGGTTTGGTGTGTTTTGGAAACTGCCGCAGCGGCACGGTGGTTCCTGCTCAGCGTGGTGGGGCTGTGGCCCCAGCGGGGCTGGGGGGACCACAAGGGCTTGAATGGCCCCAGCAGTGTCCTGGTGGCATCGTGCATGGCACCTGTGGGCACCAGGAGAGGCTCTGGGAACCAGCAAGGGCCCTGGGCCAGCTCCTCCTTGCAGAGCCCCCCTTCTGCAAGGACACCGAGCTGATGAGACCGAAAGCTGTGCTAGATGTTTCATCACTCAGTTTCCTTTCTCTTTCCTCATTCTCTCCTCTGTCGAAGGAGATTATTTCACTCTTTTTTTCATTCCCCACCATGGAGGTTGTGGGCACAGGCCAGGGCTGCTGTCCCCATGGGCTCCCAGCACCACTCCGCTCACCGGTGCCCAGCACAAACCCGCCTGGCCAGGGACAAGACTTGTGGATTCACACGTTTCTAACGCAGAAACACTTGCTCATCTCTGTATTTAGTGCTTCTTCCCCCTGCTGATGACAAATACAGAAATGGAAGAACTGAAAAGCCATGAGAAAAACGAGCATGTGTGCTAATTGCTAATTGACATCTTCGTGGCCCTGGGTGGGCGCACGCTGGGGTCAGTGGGCAGAGGGCCAGTGATGAGGGTGCGATGGGGATAAGATCTCTTTAATGGAAACTCAGCGTTAGCAAAGGGATCCCTGCCCTGGGGCAAGCAGTGCCAGGGCCAGATGCTGTCGGGAAATCACAGCCTGGTGCACGAGGAGGTAACGTAGTGTCACCCCTGTGCCCTCCTGTTCTGCCTCTGCTTCTGGTGCAGGGCACCCAGGAGCCCTTCCCACGTTAGCCACACGGGACGTTATTCTGGGAGGCTGCGAGTCCACACAGCTGCTGTTTTGCAGGGATCTGCCAACACTGGGGTGGCCGTCAGCTCGTCCATGTCCATCTCCCAAAGCAGAAAGGTGGCGGAGCCCAGGTCTGAGCCCCTGTCACCCATGGGCTCACCAGAGAGGACAGTGCTGCCATGGAGGTGGATGGAGAGGGGCTGCTGGGGCAGGAGACCCCCACTGCAAGACCCCGCACCTCCTGCATCGGGGGATGCTTCACAAACTCCTTCTGGAGCTTATCACAGCCCTATTTGGGATTCCTCAAAAGTAGGAGGCTCTCCGTGGTCATTGCTCTGCTCTGCAAATGCTGTGCTGAGAGCAGCCTCAGGGACACAGGGACACAGGGACACAAGGTCACAGGGACACAGGGACAATGCTCCAGTCCCTGCAGTGGCACAGCTCCTTGCTGGGGAGCATCTCCCAAAGCACAGAGGCACTCGCCTGTTTGAGCAGCTCACGCTCCTGCTATATAAAGCATACAGCCATTGTTTTGGAAGCCTGGTGGTTGCTTAATGTGGGATAATTAATCTTGTGTGGGAGCCGCTGCTTTCAGCGCCGTGGTATCTTCACCACAGAGCTGTTCTCTTGGGCTCTGGGATGCATCAGGCTGCTGCTTCTTTTAGAATAAAAGCACCCGGGGGGTTGGTGCTTCAGCGGGGCTGGTGGCCTTGTGGCATTGCCCCGAGACCCTGCTGAGATGCCAGCTCATTCACGCTGGTCCTGTGGTGTTTCTGTAATTGCATCGGGCGATGGGAAGCTTCCCCGAGCGCGCTGCGCCTCCTGGCAGCTGCCTGAGCACGGTGCTCTTCACAAAGGGCTTTCACCTTAGCAGTTGCAAGATAACCCTTTTTCCCTCCCCAAAATCATGTGATGTACAACCTGGCAGTCCCCAGGCTTCTGAATCATAAGGCTTGCCAAATTGCTACCTGAAAACGGGGCTCGCTGGGCAAAGTGGGAGCCAGCCTGCAGCCGTGTGCCGCAGCTCAGCTGAGCTGCACCCTCTGCAGAACCTGCCCGTGGTCACATCACGGCTCTGCCGCCTCGTGCTGTGGGGTTTGCTGCTGCTGCAACAGCCAACAAAGCGCCAGGAACAAAAGCAGCACCAAAAACCTCCCAATTCCTGAACAGAGACTGGCTTCCGAAAACTTTACCTTTCCTTTTCCTGCTCAGATGCGCGGCGGGTGCTCAAGTTTGCACTTTCATTTCTGCGGAAGCCGGCCCGTTTATAAGAAAGCCTGGCCTGCGTTCGGGGTGGCAAGAGTGCTTACTGTACAGATCGGCTGCTTGTTTCAAAAACACCTTTCGGAGCATAACCATATCCTGTTTTGCCAGTGCCCCGCTCGGCGCACAGCTGGCGCTCGCGCTGCGCCGCGCTGCGGTCGTCCTTCCCATTTCATGTCGCGCTGCAGCCGGCGCAGCCTCACCTTAACCAGCAGCTGACTGCAAGGCTGGAAATTAGGGTGGCTGCCTGCCTGTTTGCCTCGCTGCTGGCCCAGCACACCCAAGGAGGAGCCCAGGGAAGGGCACCCACATGGAGCTGGCAGGGCTGTGACTGTGCCGCAGCAGAGCCGACCCGTGGCAGCCCTGGGCTTGCCAGCGCTGGCACAGCCCAGGCTGGGTGGGCACCAAGGCATTTTTCAGGTCCTTTCCCTTCTGCATGAGCAGGCATTTGTGGTTTGAACTGCATCGCTCCGGCCCTGGAGCTGCCAAACAGCCCCATATTTCTAAAAGAGTGCCACCCCGATAACCATCAGTGACCTGATCTTCAGCAGCTGGCTGAGCCGTGAATCAAAAAATTGGCCTTGGGTGGGATGAAATCACTGCTGTCTGGGAAGCCACTCCCTGGCAACAACAGTTTGCTTGCTGTGCATCTGGGTTACCCTCAGCACTCCAGCCTGGCTGTGTCTGTTCCCGTGCCAGCCACGGCACTTTCCCCTCGCCGCAGGGCGAGGACGGGAGGATCACCAAGTGGCCGGGAGCGGCGGCAGGGAGCAGAGTGCCAGGACGCACTGTGCCAGCACTCAGCGAGCCAGCACTCACCCTGCCTGGGGATCAATCCTTCCTGGGTGTGCAGCGCAGGCTCTGCCACCAGCGGGGTGGTTTTGCCGAGGTGAAGGTTGGGAGGCACGCGGTCCCGGAGGCAGGACAAGGTATTTTTAGCAGAGCAGAGCGGAGCAGAGCAGGAGCAGAGCAGCTTTCCTTCCCTTCCTGCAGTGCCCTAGAAAGCGTTGTGCACGAAGGGCATCACTTTGGAGAGCCTTTATTTAGGTACTGGGGAATTTTGTGTGCTTAATTAACTGCGTGTGAGTAGAACAACTTAATTGCATGTGAGATTTCAGGACACTGCACTGCCTGCAGCTGCAGGCAGAGTGGCCGTGGAGGTGAGCCTGCTGCTATCAGCCCTCGCCCTCGCCCGTTCCTTCCCTTTCTCTCCAACACTTCACTTTCCCATTTTAGCAGTTAGCTCGTTCTGGTCCTAAACCTTGCTGGGGATGCCGCAGAGATGCCAGCTGTGGGACAGGGTGGGCTGGCAGCCACCCGGGCTCCGGCAGGCAGGAGGCAGCAGCCTGCACAAGAAGGGAGTTTCCTTGGGTTTGGGCCGGGTTTGGGTAAAACCCAGCGCAGCCTTATCTGCTGAAGCAGAACCAGCAACAAGAAAACTTTCACTTAGGTCAAGTTAGGAACAAGATCAAGTCCTTTCCTGGCATAAATCTGGTCAGGGAGTTATTAAAGATGTTATCCAACAGCGAATTCATCGCTAACCTGTGCGGGTAACCCCAAAAAAGGGGGTTCTGCTCTATTTCCCCTGCAGGCTGCGGTGCAGGCAGGGCTGCCCGCAGGAATGGCTGCTGCTATCTGCACGTGACAGCTTGCTGCGAGTTTTTATTTTGCTTTCTTTTTCCTGTTTTCCTCTCGGAGGCAGGGCTGCGTTGCAGAAGCTGCCGTGAAGCTGCGCAATCTGCAAACAGACTGGTGAAGCCCCGGCGGTAACTGGGGCTGCTGGGGAAGCTCCATGGGGCCGTGCGGGCTTTGCCTTCGCTCAGCAGGATGCCAGAAATGCCCTGAGTGGTCACCAAGGTCGACCTGGACGTCCACCCCCTGCACTCCAACGTGCCCCTCTGAAGCAGCTCTTTGCAGCCCTAAAAAGCCTTTTTTTCCCCAAAACCAAGCAAGGAAACCACACCCCTTAATTATTCTTTTCTTTCGTGAGAGGAGGAGGCTCAGGCCAGCAGGGGACGGTGTGAGCTGGAGCACTGGTAAGCCCCAAAAAGCATTTCCCCAGGTTGTGTGGGTCTCCCCTCGTCTGCCTTTGGCTGGCGAGCAGTGAACTGCACCGCCTGCGTGCACCTCGCCAGGAACGCCACATGGGCTGGACATGTGCATCCCAATTATCAGTAAATCTGTTCTCTATTTAAAAAAATAAAATCCTCTGCCTACATTTACTTATGTAATCCTCTGAGGGTTTTTGGCACGGCAGTCACCAACGCCTTAGTGCACGAGAGCAAACCCCACAGCCCACGGGGCTGTGGTGGTGGTGGGGATTTTTGGGGCCGCTGGCAGCCCAAGGGGGGCCAGGAGCAGGACAGACACCCCCTGCACCTTGAGACATTGCTTTGAGAGTGATGCCAGTACCGAATTAGCTGATAAATAGAAAAAATGCAGCTGCCCAAGAAAAAGGTGCTATGGAAATGCTGCCCGGGGGTGGCCGTCGGGGCTCTTGAGGCTCTTTGGGAGTGGCTCGAGTCAGTCCCTACAACCATGGGAGGGTTTGCTTGAAATAACACCCACAGTGCCCAAAGACGTGTTGAGAACATTTTATTTCCTCCCGAGTTTGAAGCCCGAAGGATGCACTCGGGTCAGGTTTGTAAACGTTTCTTGGTCCCAGCGAGGGCTGCACCCACTCCTGGTTTATGAAGCAGACCCGAGGGGCTTGTGTGACATCTGTATCGATGAGCAGAGGCTTTAGCAACACCCCAAATGGCACAGGCTCCTAGATGGCAGCGCCAACTTCTCATCCTCTCTGCTGCAGTCCCGAGGTCCAGATTTAGTGTTGATTTTCTCGGAGGGAGAGGTTTGCTCTGCATGCACACCATTACCCGTCCTGATCTGGAGCCCGTGGCAGGATGCAGAAGGGCTGCCAAACACGACAAATAGGTACAGACACTGACACGACAGCAAAGGCAGGGCACCACACCTAGCTGCAGTCCGGCAGGGGAGAAACACTGATGGTTGTGGCGGCTGTTTGCAATATTTTAGCGATAACACGACGGAGAACACTGTAGGGCGAACGGTCCCTGACACCTACAACACGGCACCCAAACCTCCTCCACCAAAACGTCCTCCTGGGCCCGATCCCAGCACCTGCTGCACACAGGGGGAATTCAGCACGGATGTGGAGACCCAACGGGACCTTCACTCAAGCTACGGGGAGCACCTACGCGGCGGGGAGCGTCTTCTTTTCAAGAGATGGACTCCAGGAGGAGCTCGTCGGGCGGCACCGGGGGGATTTCCATGCTGTTTATCCGGCCGAAGAGCTTGGGGAGGGACCAAAGCCCGAAGCGGGGCAGGTTTCTCGGCTTGGTGCGGATGTCGTGGCCGGCATCCACCACGGAGAAGCTGCTGCGGCTGCGCGCGAGGCGAGCCCGCAGGGCGGCACAGCCGTGCCGCAGCAGCTGGTCCTGGAACTCGGAGGTCATGAAGTAGTAGAGGACGGGATCCAGGCAGCAGTTGAGGCTGGCGAGGCAGAGGGAGATGGGGTGGAAGCGGAGCGTGCTCCTGTGCACGGCGCAGTCCGTGATGATGTTCTCGATCACCATCATGAAGAGGGGGAAGTTGATGTGGTAGGGGGTGAAGCAGATGAAGAAGACGGCGGCGCACATCAGGACCATCCGCAGCGCTCGCTGCTTCTCGCTGGCGTTTTGCAGCTCTGTCTGGCACTCCCGCAGCGACTGCCTCATCTTCCACGTGCAGCAGGCGATGATGCCGAAGGGGATGACGAAGCCAAAGAGCTCCGCCACCGTCACCAGCGCGATGGAGGCTCCCGGCGCCAGCTGCTTCACGGCCAGGTCCGAAAAGCAGGTGTTGGTGCTGTTGGACAGGGCCGGGCTCCTCACGATGGGCAGGGGCAGGCAGGCGGCCCCCACGAAGAGCCAGACGGCCGCGCTGATGGCCGCGTCGTAGCGGCGCTTCCAGTCCTTGGCTCTGAAGGGGTGGAGGAGGAAGAGGTACCGCTGGATGCTGATGCAGGTGAGGAAGCAAATGCTGGCGTACATGTTGAGGTACTTCAGGTAGAAGCAGACCTGGCAGAGGAAGCTCCCGAAGGGCCACGTGTGGTTGATGTAGTAATACATCCGCAGCGGCAGCGAGAGGACGTGGGCCAGGTCGGCCACGGCCAGGTTGATCATGAAGATGACGGCTTTGCTCTTCTTGCTGATGAAGCGGCACAGGACCCACAGGGCAGCGCTGTTGGCCAGCAGGCCGGGGATGAAGATGATGGTGTAGGTGGCTGCGTACAGCGTGGACTGGAAGGCCATCTGCGGGTGGGTGCAGTTCCCAGAGGACGCGTTGCTCTCCATCTCGGCCGAGTTTCCTCGCTCCGTGGTGGATTCAGGCGGGTGGAGGCTTTCTGCAGGGAGCAAAAACAAGTGCTGTGATGCCCCAAACCTCCCAGTGTTGCCCCACATTCAATAAATGCACTTCAGGGTGGAAGGACAAGCTGCATATACACAGGTGATTTCCGTGGGGCTTTGAGCGGGCTGATAAAATTGTCCTTTTGGATCCGCGCAGAGGTTCAGTGTAATTAGCCTCAGCAAACGATGCTGCTGGCAGCAGAGCGGAGCAGAGGCCAGCCAGGGAGGTGCAGACAGATCTATCACAGCCCTGGCTCCAGATCCAAGGCTGCTTTCCTAAGCTAATAGCCAGCCGAACGCACGCCAGTCCCTCTGTCGGTCCTGCTAACTCAATTTGGGCGCTCCCGGCACGCTGTGCAGGCATCGTGTTGTAGCAACAGACAGGATCTGCCAGCAGCAGCCCAGGCCCTGCAGGAAGACAAATACGCTTGTCTCAGAGCTGCAGCAGGATTTTATTTTTCCCCCATTTGCCTGATTCACCTCCCACTGCCAGCGCGGGGGCATTGGCAAGTCCTGCGGGGCTCAGGGGTACGTGTGGGTCTCCGGAGAGCGGTGGATTTGCTATCTGGGAACAAAGCCCCACGCTGTGCAATTTGCCTCTGGGAGATGTGGTGCTGGAAACAGAGCCTCGGGCAGCCTGCAGGGTGTCGGGACGCCTGTGGCTTCCTTCCAGCAGCCTGCTCTGGGACAGCCCCAGCAGCTCTGCCCTTGCCACCGAGCCCCTCAGCAGTGGCATTTAATTAGGAAGCAGCTTCCCACAGCCCTGTGCCTGGTGTTTGACACAAGGACGGGTTTCCCAAAGCTAAACTAACTGCAAAAGGGAGCACGAGGTGTCAGGGTGAAGGCTCTGACCCTGCTCCTCCTCGGGAGGCAGCTGTGCAGGGGGCTGGCATGCAGGAGGAGGGTGCTGCAGAGCGGGGTGCTCTAGCTGTGTACGGGATGCTCCCTCTCTATAGATACATACGGGGAGAGAGAGAGTGAGAGAGAGAGGATGCTCCCTCTCTAGATATGTCAGATTATAAATATATATATATAGGATGTTCTTTCTAGATTTATAGGATGATATATATACACAGAGGATGCTCGCTCTAGATATATAGGACGATATAGGATGTATATCTAGATATACATATAGGCTGCTCCATAAAGATATGTAGGATTATATATATATATTATATATCCCATATTTGTATCTTAGAGGCTCCAGATCTTACAGAGTATGAAGGCAGCAGCCTCTCTGCTGAGCTGCACCTCTGCTCCCAGGAGGGTCGGGGCTTTCACCCACCTCTGAGCCGAACCTGGCCGTGGTGCCGGCTGCCGTTTGCTTTCTCCAGGGCTTGGCTGCAAGAACACGAGGCTGAAGTGAAAGCCCAACTGCTGCACTAGTTCACTTTTTGGCTGCTGACCACACTTAACCCAGCAGCCCTGGGTCAGGACGTTTCTGCTTTCTCTGCTGAGCTCTGGCAGGGCGTGGGGGTGATCCTGAGATGTGGGGAGCCATCTCACCCGTTTTCTCCATTTTTTGGCTTTCCCTGGAAGCCCAGCAGTGCGTTTCTCAACGTGGGGCCGGGACGTTGCTATTTCAGTGTTTGGCTGATGCCTGTCAGCACCTGGCAAGAAGCAGCGGGGAGCTTTCTGCAAGGCACCGCCACCTCCAGCACAGCTCCTCCTGGCAGAGCGGGGATTTTAACTTCTTGGTGCTGGTTCCCTGTTTTCATTGTACGAAGAGCATTCACTGCACCTTGCCCCAACCCCCTCTGGCCCTCCTTGTCTTTTGCCATCAGTGACGCCACTTTTGGGGCAGAAACGCTCCCATGCTTTGGCAGGGCTGTGCCTCAGCGACGGCACCAGACTTTCACAAAATATTCCCTGCCATTCCTTCATCATTTTGCTATTCCTTATTTATTTATTTATTTATTTGTTGCTATTGGTGTGATGGTAAAGCCCTCTCCCAGCCCCAATTTACACACAGCCAGGAGCTGGGGGGCTTTTTTTTAAGGGCAAAGCTGAGTTTTATCCAGCTGCGTACTGAAATTAATTCCTGTCCTGATGGGTTTACGGGCTGGAAACACAGAGAGGGGCAAGGCCGTTACTCATGGATGCAGCACCACTGAGCATCAGTTAACTTTGCAGTTCTTTAGGATGTTAAGGCAGCTATTACAACACCCACGTTGCCGTTCCTGAGTGTGTTAGCAGTATATTTTTCTGGACGCGTACATGGCTGTCATTATTGGAAATTGCCTGGCTACTCTGAATCACTGCATGCCCCACCCAGCTCTACATTTCTGCGGTATTGCATTTACTGCTCCCAGAGCCCCTGGCAAAGGCACCCTCATCTTTTCCACGGGTTTTTTTGGACAGACAGTGCTGGACGGGGCCCTGGCCACAGCGGGATGGGACGGGACAGGACAGGATGGGACAGCAGAGCCTCGCTCTGGTCCTGTCCAGTGCTGGGATGCTGGAGGGAAATGCAACCAAGTCCAAAAATAGAATAAAATAAAATTAAAAAAACAAATCGACAATTTTGGCTTGAAATAAGTTTTGGATTTCAAGTAGTGGAGGCTTTTTGGAACTTGTTCTTTAAGCAGCAGTTTTGTTTGTTTAATCCAGGCACTGATAGGAAACACATAAACAGAGCTGATGGGTTACAGCAGCTTCTGTCCGTAACGACAAAGTTTTGCTATTTTCTGCAAAAGTGGCTTTGCCCCGCGCACTGCCACACGCAGCAGCCTCCTGCCCTCATGCACACCCCCTGCAAGGCAAGGACACACACACCGACACTGCTGAGGATGTAGCACCAGGCTCTCTGATAAGATCTCGTGAAAAGAAAAAAAAAAGCCCACCGTGACAACGTCGCTCGATACTGCAAGAGCTTCTATCTGCTGAAGAAAGCACATAGCAGAAACCAAGCTTACCTCCCTGCAGCTCCCATCCTTCAGGGGGAAGACATCCATGCTAGAGAGCAGGAGGAGCGAGCCCTCTGCTGCTGTTCCCTACCAGCTTTCGCAGCAGTCCCAGCCCCAGAGGCTCCCCTCTGAACTTCCACATGTTTTCGGAGCGCTGGAAGCCTGCCGGCATCTGCAGCCCAGCACGGTGGCTGCAGAGCAGGAAATCCTGTAGTTTGTTTCTCTTCGCCACACCAAATGTGAACAGCAGTGACGTTAAAACAGCTGGAAGGGCGATGACATCAGTGCATCCAGTGCCGCGGGACCGAGCCCGCGGACAGGGATTTCTTTCTGCCTGCTCAGAAGTTGAGTTGCACGAATGTGCCCTTCAGGCTGGCTGCTTCTCCTTTTCCCTGCTGTCACTCGCTTGCAAAAAAACTAAAAAATATAGAAACTTTTTTTTTTTTTTCCAGTAAGTACTCACTAAAGGAAAACCAAAAGCTGTATCAGTAGAAACTTAGTGGAAGGTAGTAATTTTCTTGCATTTTCTTGGAAGTTTTGTTAACCTCAGACTATTTAGCCTAGAGGCTACATTTTCCAAGGGTTTGGACTTTGTTTCTGAAATAATATAATGGTTTCAGGTTGAAATTTTCCCCAAACTGTATTTTTTATAAAACATAATGTTCATCATTCCCAATTCCTTTTTGCTTTTTCTTTCCTTTAATTCCTTTCCCATATATGTAAGTATATATATATAATATATATATACACACACACACATACATATATATATATATATAAATTCTTGTACTGCCTGCTGAGAATGACCTTCCTCTTTTGGATTGCTGCAAACTGGCCCGCCTACAGCACAGTGAGACTCCTTATGAGCTGCCTCATTTCCAGCTGACCGATTTTACATGATATACAGTGCCGCAGCTCATGGCCCAGGGCTTGGGAAGATGACACGGCTGCTGGCACGCTTCCCTTTCTTGTTGTACATAATGTACAGTAGAATATAAGTGTTCTTAGATAATCTCCATCAGTCCCTTTCAAATATCCTATCCTATCCTATCCTATCCTATCCTATCCTATCCTATCCTATCCTATCCTATCCTCTCTTTTTTTTTTTTTCTTGAATTGGTCCCATGACCCTGCACCATTAACAAGAACATAACTGTGGAAGAGAAGTGAAAAAAGGGAGCTATCCTAACACATAACTGCAGTGTAAGCTCCGGCCCAGGCGTGGTGACCTTTCCCCATGGTGTCTGAGCCCTGCCACGAAGCTTTGCTTTGCCACAGCAACGTAGCAAAGGGAGAAGAGGACCCTTCACCTGGAGCTGCCTTCGGCTGGTGGACGTGCACTTAAATCCATTAGCCAACGTCCTCAGGAAGGCAAAAGGCAAGGCCACTTTCTCCACCAGCCTTTGCGGATGTGTCTATGGGCTACCTCATCACTTGAAGGAACCTTTGAAGGAACCCTACCAACAAATAAACACCCGAGAAGCCCCATGTTCATTGTCTCAGGTGAGAGCAAAGTGATTTGGAAAATGCAAGAGCTGCTTATCACTTGTTTTCAATTCCCGTGCATCTTTTGTCAGCAGCTGATGCTGATCCTAGGAAGAAATACTGATGTATGAGTGTCTGCAAAATGCTGGCAGATTTGTAAAAGGGAAGCTGGCCTTCCGCCAGCAGCATCTCTCTCCGGAGGTGAAAGGTTTATCCCGAAGCGAAGCGGCCGCTTTACCAGGATATCCTGCCTAGGACATCCTCCTTCTGAGACCGAGGCACACAGCCAGCCCCATACCCAGCCTCCGTGGCCCTATTTTTAGGAAGGTGCCTGCAGGGGGTCCCTGGTTCCCGACCAGAACAAGGGCCAGGCACGTCGGGGCCTTCCCCTGCTCATCGCTCGGTGCTCCTGCAGGACACAGCAGCCTTCCTCCCTGCCCACCAGGGCTGGCGGGTCAGCAAACCTCGAGCCTCTGCCTCGACCACGTTGTACTGCACCTCTCCACTCTTCTTTCAGCTGCCTGTGTATTTTTGTCGAGCGTTTCTGCCTCTCTGGCTCATTAACAATACCAAGCATGCCTTTTACGCTACGCACATTTATGTTTTTAAAGGCAGCAGGCACAAAGGGACTTTTAAACAACTGCGAGACTTTATCTAAGGCCTCCAGATAAAGGCTGTCTTCACCTTTAGACTGGTATCCTGTGGGCAGAAGGCCAAGCGCAGATAATCAGCACCTCTTTGAGCGCTCGGCGTTTAGAAATATCTGACAGGATGCACCTGAAGGATGTATGAAAAACAAGCGTGGGCCATTCGGGAGGAGGAGAGGAGGAGGAGGAGGCTTTACTCACACAAAGGGCACCTCGCCCTGTGCTGCAGCGTGCCCGGGGCCGTCAGATCAGGGTCCCTGGGGCTGGGCGAGTCCATTTGCTTGCCCTACAGAGAAACACATTTTCTTTTGCTTTGGGGTGAATTGCTCATGCACTAGGGGAGGAGCATGCCATGCTCTGGTGCTGCCCATTTTTCTGTGCCTGCAGAGAGGCTGGAGAGAAGGAGCCCTCCTGCTCTGCCCTCTCAGCTGGGACGCAAACCAGCAAGGAGGGGTGAAGGAGCCTTTCCCCATCACTGCTCACCTAAGACCTGGCTCAAGCCACGCTGCTGCTGGCTGGGTCTGCTCTCATCCAGGGGAAATCCAGCAGGGAAGGGAGGGCATGAGGCATGGCGCGAATCTTGGGCTCAGACCTTGGTGCGGGTGGCTTGGAGACCTCACCACATTTCCACCCTGGGCAGCTCCCCTTCAGGATGAGGCCTCACGTTATGGTGGCTCCAGCACTAGGCCCCAGATCCAGCCTTCAAAAGCCTGCAAAGGCGCATCCAACCTCTTCATCTGCTTAACTTCTGCCTTTGTGGCATCTCTTTTGGAAGACTTTTATTCTGTTTCTTTGCCCAAGAAGCATGAAGACATCTTCTTTCTCACTTGCTGGCAAGTCAGGGCAGCGGGCCCAGCGCAGGAGATAACCCAGGAGCAACACCACGAAATGATATTTCTTCCTGCCAAAATAATGAACACATTGTATGGTCACAGGAAACGGGGTGAATTACAGGAACTGGAGCTGGGCACATTGTGCCTCGGGTCGTGTGGGAGCGCTGGCAGGCAAAGCCAGCACCTGCAGCACCTCCCAGCCTGAGGGCAGCCAAAATGCTGCCCTCCTCCACCGCTGCCTCTTCTTCTCTTGAAAGACGCTTCTGAGAGTTCGGAGGGCTTGAACTAAAAGCTTTGAATTTCCCACATGAGTATGCAGAGGACACACTGATGGCCTTTGGTGTGCAGATTAGACAATGCGGTTAAATGGTCTCTTCTGGTGTTGGTGTGTAGGAAAGTTAGCCAAGAAGGTCATGGCAGCCTAGAGAGCAACAGTTCAAAGTGAAAAGAGATTAAGGAGCACTTGTAATTTTCTGAAATCAGATAGGAAACCAAAGAGGCCTTAATTTGAATGGTTGCAAGTGTTGAGAGTGTGGCATTTCTGGGCTGGGGCTGCAGTATGTCACAGAGACCAGGTTTTGTGGGGGCCTGAGGGGGCTCAGAGAGAGCAAGGCAGGGGAACAGAGTGACAGCGTGAGCAGTTGAGGCTGAGGTGCTCAGGGATGCCACTGCGGTGACTGGTTATGTTATCTCTTATAGACCTACCAAACTTGTTGCTGGTGTCAGCACTGACTCACTTGGCACAGAAGTCAGGGGACATAAATGCAAAGTGGCCTCAGAGCAAGCGAGAAAGGAGAGAGCGTGCTGCTCCTCCTGTTGGGAACCTCAGGTCTTGTATTCCCACGGCATTCCCCAAACAAGCCTTTCCTCCTGAGATGCAAGGTTAATGATGGGAGAGCCACCCTCATGCTTCAGGAACGCAGAGGCTGGAGCAAGCATTCCCCTGCCAGCTCCACCCTACAACTTGCAGTACGTAGACGACTATTTTTACCAAATTTTTGGCAAGCAATTTTTTACTTTACCTTAGCACCAATCCCATCTTAAATGATGTGAGTGCTTCTTCAAGCTGCACAGATCTGGCTGCAAAGTGATGGCTGGATGAGATACAGAGAGCTGGTTTCCGTGGTCCTGCCTGCATGTAAAGGCGAGAGCAGCCACTCCTCCTTACCCGGGTACATCAGGCAACAAAGGATGGGCTGTCCTCTGCGTTGCACCCTCCTGTCTTCAAAACACACTTAAATCCAGTGTAAGTGTAATTAAAAATAACAATAATAATTAACCACAGTCAAGGGGGGAACACCGTTCTGTTTTGTATTTAAGAATAACAAAAGTTGCTAGTAATCAATGCACTGCCCCACGTGAACTCTGATCCATGGGAAGGAGGAAGCGATCCCATTCTGTTCTGTAGGTGTGACAACTATGAAACTCAGCTTACACTTGCAAAAACACGTTTATTTTTTAAGCATCAGTTTTGGGAAAGAACAATGTAGGACAAGCTACACAGTTGCCATAACAGTGACTTCAACTTTTTTTCACCTGATAAATGGAGGTGAATAGCACGAGAGTGAAATCACAGTAAACACCTCCCAGTCACGTGCTAGCTGATCAAAGCCTACAAGCATCTTCAAAACAACAGTTGCAAGTAAAATCTCCTTCATTGATGACATTGTGCAGCGCCTAGCTTATGAGACAATTGTTACCTTGACAAAAACTTTATTATGCATGTTTGACTTGTGTTCCTGAGTCAACCCTTGCTCACATTTTTCGACAGACCACTTGCAACATGTAAATGTGAATGTATATCATTGCCATAATCACTGCCAGTTAAATTGGTGAAAATATTTCCATTGACTTCAACAGCAGAGGGACTGTTTGCTTATCCTGCAGCTTTCTCATCAGAAAACTAGAGAAGCCTGCCATAATACTCTCTTCATGAAAGGTACTTCCTTCAGATTGGCATGTTTTGGTATTCTCACTTATCTACATGTAAGATTAAGTTCATCATACTGTAGACCATAATTATCGTTTCACAAATGGGAGGAGAATTCTGATAGCTTATTGTATTTAATTAATAGGTTTTTACTGCCATTTCGAGGAAGTCCAGCATTATGGATTTCTAAACCTGTTTGCTTTTTCCCACTTTACTGTGAAACAGTCAATTAAAAACCAGCAATGTTCAAAAAAAATTTGATCAAGTCAAAATTTAATTAGGTGGAATTGAGTAGTAAGATTTCAAATATATCCAGCAAGTGTTTCTGGTATTTTTTCTATTTTGTACTGACATATAAGATGCTGCCACTGGTGCTTACTGAGAATTTTACATGCTTGCTTTGGAAAGTCACCAGTTTCAAAGGGAATAAATCAGTTGCCTGTGTGTCTCTAGATATCATGAGGAAACCCTTGAAGTTATACAAAGTGGGTGAATTTGACCCACTTATTAAAATAAGGGGTAAATGACATCGTTTCTTGTCACTGCTTTTAACATCTTTATAGCTGATGAAAATGTAAACATTAAGATCAGCAGAGGAGCTGATGGGAAAAATCACAGCAAACAATTTGCTGAAGAAGTTAGCCTTTGCTCTCCTAGTGAAGCCACCTCGGCAAGGGCACCTTTCTCTTTTAAAAGATGCGTCGGTGGAAGCCACTGAGAAGAGCTTTCACAGCATGGTTCCATCACTAGGTACCTCTGGGCTGAAGAAGCCACATACCCAAGAGGCGAGGACCTAGATGGTACCACTGGGGGCAACAAATCTAACGGGAACTGATGCTGAGTCTGGCTGCACACAGCCCATGGTAGTGGCAGTGCTGCTCCTTGGGGTCTGAAGGTGAAGGCTGGGTGCTGAAGCCCCCCTTGCTGATGGGGACAGCTTGGAGGGGAAGACGGTCACTTGGAGCAAGGAAAAGTCCCACTCTACAGAGTGTTTGAGGAGCCATCAGGAGAACTTGTAGAGGGTAGCCCCCCACTGCAGTACCAGCTGTAGGTGTAAGGTACAGGATGTGTCCGTAATTAAGGAGCAACTTAGAGCTGGGTGAGGAGGAGGAATTGATGGACAAGAGTGGGAAAGAGCAAAGCAGAGGTAAGCACGGTGACCACTGGACTTCAGTAAAAGCCAGGAGCAGGCAGCAGCAATCTGGGGCTGCCGGGCCGAAGCAAACAGCCACCCTTCATTTGTCTGCATCCCTGAGTGGGGAGACCAAAACTGCCATTTTTAACTACTGGCCACCTTCACATTCTTGCATGCATTGTGCATTTTTAGAAGAGAAGATATTTCAACAGATGTCGCTGTATGGATGAGTGACTGTCTTTGGTTTGACCATAGAGTCAGCAAAGTTGGAGTTAGAGTTGGAGAAATGGGGAAAAAAAAAAAAAAAAGTTCCTTGTATTTTTCCACCATTTCCCAGCAAAATCTTTGTCACTCCCTTCTGTAGGTTTTCTGGTCCTGCTAGGTCAGGCATGGGCATCACAGTGATAGGTGTGGTCACTCATTGCCTTCCAACACATTGGTCTTAAAGTTTTATCTTGTGTGTATCAAAAGATTTCCACTGCCACAGAACTCCCCTAAACACACATGCAGGATTTTGGCACTGGAGCTGGTAATTGAGTATCACAGAACAGTCCTGGATTTCAGATGAAATATCTTAATTGCTTTAAGCTGTCTTTCCTTTCATTCCTTAATTGATGAGGCACTCTCTTTGCTCATGAGCCGACTCCTGATGACCATGCTGCTATGTCTTGATATCTGGTCCTGAAACTCTGAAGTCATAAAAAAATACAGGATTGGATCCAAACAGCAGTCCAGGCTTGCAAGAGCTAAGCAAAAGGGTTGGGTGTGGAGCGTGATGCTACGCAGGAGGCAATCTGTGATAACGTTCTCTTTCACCATCATGTAGAAAAAGAAGTTGATGTGATACGGTGCAAAACACACAAAGAACACAATGGCACACATGGAAACCATCCTTAAAGCTTTCCGCCTCTCGTTGTTGTTTTGCAGTGGTATCTGGAAGTCCCGAAGAGAGTCCTTTGTTTTCCAAGTACAGAACAAAATAATGATGAGGGGGCCAATGAACCCAAAGAGCTCCGCTGTGACCGTCATCGCCACAGTGGCCACATTGCTTTGAATCTGTCGGACCTCGAGGTCCGCAAAGCAGGTTTCGGAGTTGTTTACGTAGCTCCGCATGATGGGGAACGGAGAGCACGCCGCCCCCACGAAGAGCCAGACGGCCGCGCTGATGGCTACGTCGTAGCGCCGCTTCCAGTCCTTGGCTCTGAATGGCTGGTACAGGAAAAAGTACCGCTGGATGCTGATGCAGGTGAGGAAGCAAATGCTGGCGTACATGTTGAGGTACTTTAGATAGAAGCACAGTAAGCAAAGGAATTTCCCAAAAGGCCACATGCGGTTGATGTAATAGTATATTCGCAGCGGCAGCGAGAGGACGTGGGCCAGGTCGGCTACGGCCAGGTTGATCATGAAGATGACGGCTTTGCTCTTCTTGCTGATGAAGCGGCACAGGACCCACAGGGCAGCGCTGTTGGCCAGCAGGCCGGGGATGAAGATCATGGTGTAGGTGGCTGCGTACAGGGTGGATTTGTACGTTACATTGGAATCAGAGCAGGTCCAGTTGCTCTGCGTCATGTTGGGGCTGCTGGAAACATTTGGCGCAGTAAATGGAGTGTGGGTCATTCCTGTAGAGAACAAAAATGAGAGCTGTAACAGCAAAGGCAATGCAAAAGTTGTCACTACTCACGTTTCTGTTTCCGATTTGACTATTCAGTATGAAGCAGAGGCTCAGAAATGTCCTCTGTGAAACATCCTGCTATCTTCTTCAAAGCTGCCCCCTCAGAGGTCTCCTCTTGTTCGTGCAGAGGAGGTGGGGCTGTCCCCATGCTGTCAGTCCCCTTGCCATGCTTTCCAAATTCCTCGTGGAAAAGGATAGCAGGCCTGAAAAGTTTGACAGGTATGAATGCAACTGCTGCTCCTGAAGTGTGCTGCCACACAGAGACCTAATCCGATCACCAACTTCCATTTCTCACCAGCCTCAGACCGACACTTTTTCTTACCAAATAGTTTCATTCTTAGCTACTTCTAATTTCTGGCTCTTCTTTAGTTCAGATGAGCAGAGATGTGCCACAGTCTAGGCCATCTCTCTTTTGCCAGCTTTTTTAACTGGGACTTCTCTTCAGGAAGGCAACACAAGCAGGCGTTCTGTTTTATAGGGTATTTCCCCCTAGGGTTACAATTCTTAGTATAGTGATTTCCTTCTATGTCTCATAAGGTGTTTAAAACTGTATATCAGCTTCCTATTTCATGTGATACTGCAGACACTGATTCACTGCTTCTGACTCATTTCCTTACAGCCCCACTTGCAAGGGGCATTTGCCAGAAAAAGTGTCTCTGTAGGTAGATATTAGTAACTCAGCCCTGCTACTGATGGTTCTTTTCTTCATGTTATGAAGAGAGAGAGAGAGAGGGAAGAAGTTAGAGCCCTCAAATGACAAAGAACACAAAAAGCTTTTTGTTCTCAGCTTGTTCATCACAGCAGCACCTGAACTTGGCTGCTTCTACAGACACTGTTTGAGGCTGCTGTGGAAGTGTTTTAATTCAGGCCCCCAAAACTCCCAGATGTGGCAAGGTCCCAGCAGGGGACAAAGG